CGATCATGGGTTTGTTTAACTGCGGAGGAAGATTTTATCATGTGACTAACTTATCTGATTCATCAGATCAGCTTGCTATAAACCAGCTATCTTTTGCTAAAGAAACAAAAACAATGATCGCATCGCATCTATCAGTCAAATGGTCTGCATAGTTAAATAAATAACGAACAAGCAAATGAAAAAATTGTCCAAAAAAGCCGAGTTGTCTCAAAATTGGATAACTCTGGCAACGTCCAAATTTTCCAATACTGCCAATTTCTACCGAAAATAACTCCGATACAGACAATTCGGACTTCGAAGATGACGGGGGAATCAGTACACGAGCTCAAAACAAAGTTTACCAGATAACTTCTCTTAAAGATAATGTATCGATATTGTTATCACGGCTAGTAAAGGACTGAACATTGACGCTGATAGCACGATTGGACAACCTCTTGTCCATGGTAACACAACAATTTAACGTTACCGAATGCGGTTATACTCTGACGATTCAAGTTAAACCTTATCTAAGCAACACACAGTGCGGTCGACTCACATAATTTTATACTCACACCATTGGCGGACACAAAAAAGTATTTTTTTTTTTTTAATATTTGCAACAGGCCTTGTATTTTTCGCAAATAGTTCGTGAAATATTGGAATTTTCCTTCATTAGTACAAAAAGCGAAATCAACACTGGAATGATTGTTCCCTGGAAAATTGAAACCAACAACACTAACGCGCACACATCAAAGTCAAATCTATTATACAATCCAGAATTACGGTTATAAAAGCTTCATCCGAAAAAAAAAGTCTTTCATCCACAGCAAGGCTTCCCCCAAAAAACTAAAGTTAACGACATTGCTAAAGCAATGGCACAGAGGGATTGACGGAAGAAAATAAAAACTCTAAATATAGATTCTGATGAAGAAACTGACTATGGAAAAGCTGACAGTACAGCAGTAATGCTGACGATGGCGAAAAATTAAACAAAGCCCAATCGAAAAAATGTTTCAGAAGAAACACCGCCAATAAAATGAACAACAAGTTTAATTCATTTTTTGTTTATATGATCTTTTTATACGTAGTATAACAAATAAATCAAATACGTAATTCTATATACACGATAACGGCTGTATTGGTGATATCTTTTATTTAGTGAAAAAGCAAAATTTATCGAATACGTTATTCTATATACATGATAACGTCAATATTGATGATAAAATAAAATTGCAAATTGCGAAAAAAGATACGTTAATATAAATAGACTTCAGCGACCTCCTGTATCAAAATTAACCCTTTCTTTCACCAACACTATATAACTACAATATGATTCCGAACGTACAAATTCACACCATACTCAACAGAATTTCAACCGCTACATAGTTCAATCACTTAGACGTCAAACACACAATCGGATATAATAAAAGATAGCTTAAAGATTACATTATCCGCTTTAGATGCTCACCAAACCGCCACTTTTAATTCTATCCCCCATAAAAGCCTTCACACACGTTTTCAAAACGCTATACTTTCCAGCACATTTGCTTATCATGTGATTATTGCGCTACCTATCAAAGCAAAATGGATTGATTATGATCCAAATTATACCTACCCTCTCGAAATTTATTTCCCTAATGTTGACCTCCATATCAGGGAAGACAGATTATCTCTTAAAGTTTTTAACAAGCGCCGATGTCCCAACAAAAAACAAGCAGATCCTCAGCTCCATCAGAAAATGTGGAAACACTGGGCACCCAAACCTTCACAGACAAATGAAAAATTCCCCCGGGAATTCAAGTTGACCCAGCCATTGCTTGCAATGGAGCAATTTGAGTAATCACAGACTTGGATAAAAACACAAACCGTTCTGTGTACATGGAGCAATTATACATGGGATAATCCCAGTATTTCACGCCAATGGACAACGAGCTTCACGAACGCAATTCCCACTACAAAATTCCTCTAACCGTTTATAAAACACAAGGATTAACTCTGCCAAAGTTTTTCTCGCTTTAGATAATCATATTCCTCATTCAACATTGTAATTAAACGTTAGTTTGAACCCAACGACCAGAAGAAATACAAATACAAAATTAGACTAATCATTCGCCGGTACCATCAATTACACTAACGTCTGGTAAACTTAGATTTAATATTAAAACGCAGCTACATTCGGATACTGTTACGTGTATCGATCCTCCAGACTCTGATACTAGCATCGCATAACTTTACATTCTGACACAATGTGGATGTGTTACTATTTGCAATCAAAAAATTTACGTTGTTATTGTTTCTATTTACTCTACTTATTTGATAAGAGCTAATGAACGCCATTGTCCCAGACATCACAAACATCATCCAATTTCCAAATCTGTTAGGGATGGTGAGCTATAACCTTAACATGTGGTGGCAGTAATTGCCATATACAGTGTGTAAAAAATTATTGGCAAAAAGTCGCGTAAACTTAAAGCTATAATATTTTTTGGTTACTGAATGCAGAGTAGTTATGTCGATATTCCAGAAGCACATTTTAGAAATTCGTAAACTAATGGAAATGTATTCGACTTCAACAAAATAACAATCCGCATGCCAAGTTGCCTTGCAAAATCAGCAAGATTTATGAAGAGGAATGGCATGTTATTCCAGAAAACATCCTAATTAATTAGTAACTAGTATGCTTGGCGCTGCTGTTAACAAACCTTTAAAGATAACCTCCGCAAAGAATGACTGGATAGCTAGTGGTGGTGCTGGAGAAACTATAACAGGAATATCTTCCTCGTGCCAAGATAAGCGGTGTGTGTGGTTAGGTCAAGCGTTCATGGTAACATATCCGCTGAAACTATATAAGTCGACAAATGTGATATAACAGCAGAAGGATTCGTAAAATACATTTGATCTATTACTTTTCAATATAACTCTTTGGGGGGCGGTACTTATTGAGAAAGCAAGAATTTTTTGGGGGTGCTTACCTCGCAACGCAACTAACATCTTGCGACAATATAAAGGTTTGGAAATCCGGAGTGTCAACCAGACGCTCTGAACGAACAAGCATATTTTTATAACAAAACCAGTCTAGAACTACGGGACAAAAAGAATTGTATCTGGATCAGTTTATGAAAACATACATTGTATATGTTTATGATTTAACAATAATAACAACAATAACGAAAACCTAATAGGTTTGCTGATCGCAGCCAAAAGGTCATTGCAACTCACACCTAAAAAGTTGTTATGCGTGCGCGCAGTCGGTGTGATACAAGAATCCTCCACTTCACTTCTATGTCGTCGTTAACGTCAGTGGTTGTTAATAATCCAGCATGAAACTTGGTTCAATCCTCCTTGGAAAGTGAATATGAATACTTGGATTTCTTGCTCGTAAATTACCGGCATAGCGTCAAGTCCAATGAACAACGTATTCTCAAACAAAAATTGTATAATGAATTGGTAATACTGGTATTCTTTGGAAGTAGCAAAGAATGTACACCAGCAACACTTGTGAATGAATTTGCTAGAATACACTCACTTTCGACACACAAGTACGATGGCGATATCAGTCAATTTAGAAGATATTCCATATGGCTTAAGAAACGCAACAGCATGATAAAAGGGTTTACCAAGGATAACGATAGTTATTACATGGTTGCCGATAGAAAGTTTTACGATTGTTATTCTCGATATGGCTTCTGCACTGCATGTGGAATACTCCGATGTAGTCCCGTGTGGTGCATTTGCGGGCATAAACAATTATCCGATGGATGGACTAGCAACAATAAGCAACTCGATGAGTTTATTAAGAAATCTCAATTACAAACAAACTCACCAAATGATGCTTATTTGGAATGGATTCCATTTGATTGTATTGATGATAGGGGATATGGATGTGGATACTTGTGGGGTCTACCTACTTATGAACGTATTAAATTAATTTCACTTAAGATAGCAAACGAGACATATAATTTATAGTATGCCGAGGTAAACCATTTACTTATGCGTCATGTTTATTGAATAGATTAAATAATTATTGACTTATTATCATGTATCATTTCCACTAGTTATGTGATAAGCATCCAGATATTCTTACCACGGATGTTTGGGTTACCATCGGATCCACATACAATGAATGGGTCGGAAAGTATTATCTAGTAAAAGAACATTATGGGCATGGATTATGTCTGACGTGTACACATTTGTTAGAACCAAAGATAAATGCATTCTGTTTCAACTGTAAAGCGCCAAGACCTGTTGATTGGAGTACTGGCAATAAATCTTTGGATTCATTTACTATGGAGTCATGGAGTAATATGAAGACTAAACGTGATGCGTATATACAATGGATTGAATACTCTTTATTATCAAACGTACAAAGGATGACATCATTACGCTATGGATGTACACATATAGCAGAATGGACAACAAATGAATTGACACGTGTGACACTCAAAAAGATAGTTGACGGAGAGGATGCTCAGTTATTTGATTTTTATCAGGTAAATTATTTTACGTGTAAAATGACGCAAGTAGTATTAAGTATATATCGCGTGTTTAACGATGTTTATTTAAATAGCTAAATAAGGAATATCCGGAGATATTAACATCTGAGAATATTTTGATAATTGGAATTACTCAAGAGACATCTACTCAAGCATATTATTTAGTTTTCTACCATGAAATGCGTCCAATATTGGACAAAATTATACAGCGTTATACAAGTGTTAAGTATATGCATTATAGTGACTTTTATGAAATTAAAGATATTGGATCTGGGTGGTTATGGAACAGTTTATACTGCCAAATATAGAAGATCCACGCTTTCACAAACTGTTGTACTCAAACGCTTCAAGAATTTTGATGAAACGCCGGAATTATTTATTTCCGAGGTAAGCAATAATTGGTAGTATTAATTAAAGTGATATTTAATCTGACTTTGTATGTATTTCATTTATTAGTTCAGAAATCATGCCAAGTGCGCAGTTGGTTATTTCCTTCAAATTTATGGAGTGACACAAGACTCAGAAACAAAAGAGTACTTGATTGTGATGCAATATGCTAACAATGGTAGTCTTTTGTCTTATTTGGATCAAAATATTAACAAATTGGCGTGGACGATGAAATTGCACTATTTGAGGGATATTGCAGGTTATCTGAATACTATTCATGTTATGGGCTTAGTGCATTGCGATTTACATGGCGGAAACGTAGTTATACATCGTTACAATGTGTCTGGGACACGACCATTTATTTGCGATCTTGGTCTCTCACAATCAGCGAATCTAAATTCACGCGAATCAAGTTCAACCATTCGAGGCGTTTTACCCTTTATTGCACCGGAAGTCTTCCATACTTGCAAATTTACTCAAAAATCAGATGTGTATTCTTTTGGTATTATTATGTATTTGATTGCTACTGGTGAACCACCTTTCAGAGATAGGCAGTTTGATAAAGATTTAGCATGTAACATTGTGGGCGGACTGCGATCATTGATGCCTGATTCCGCACCAGAGGAATACAAGAAACTTGCCGAGCGGTGTTGTGATGCTGATCCAGACAAGCGTCCAGAGAATGGAAGAAAACTTTGGATTGATATTAAAGAGCTTTTTAAAGAGGTGTACGAGGAAAATTCTGTCAGTAAAGCATGGAATACTATCTATCATACATAATGATGTAAGGCCTTTATAATATTCTAGTACGCTCTTACCTACTGGCAATCTGCCTAAACCAAGAAATAAATTCTCATCCGTACCTCCCTTCGTTAAACTAGAGATTTGTTAATTTCACACTGTAAATCAATTGGGGACGTAATTGTATGCCGCACTGCTGGCGATTTGGACACAAATGGAATAAACAGTTGATAAACGCACTTGTGCTTAAACCAAATTTATTACCATGAATCGATTCTCCGTAACACATATTATGCGAAGAATTATAGCTAGCGTATTTAGCAAACGTGTATTCCTTCAATTGATACGCCCATTTGAAATTTGCCGCCATCTTAAAGCATTTTCACAATGTATTTTGATACAATTGTATTTCTAATGGAAGAATCA